TTTGAAGGCCAATATGATGCCACAAGGGGAAAATTCCACACCTGACCTCTTGAGGGGTTGCAGTCAAAATGCAGTAAAAACTTTGTTTCGGCCGAGCACGGTGGCTCACGCCTGTCATCCCAGCACTTTCAGAGGCCGAGGCGGGTGGATCACGAGGTCAGGAGATTGAGACCAGCCTGGTTAACACGGTGAAACCCCGTCTCTACTAAAAATACAAAAAAAAAAAAAAAAATTAGCCGGGCGTGGTGGCGGGCGCCTGTAGTCCCAGCTACTTGGGAGGCTGAGGTGGGAGAATGACATGAACCTGGAAGGCGGAGCTTGCAGTGAGCCGAGATCCGGCCACTGCACTCCAGCCTGGGTGACAAAGCGAGACTCCGTCTCAAAAAAAAAAAAAAAACAAAACTTTGTTTCATGCACAAAATTATTGAAGATCTTGTATAAAGTTACCTTCAGGCTATGTCTATAAGGCGTATATGAAACATACATGAAATCTATATTTAGATTTGGGTCCCATTCCCAAGATATCATTACATATGCAAATATTCCAAAATCTGAAAACAACCTGAAGCCCGAAACACTTCTGGTCCTAAGCACCACCTTGTTTGAGGTGCCTGGTACATGCGCCATTACAAGCAGCAGCTCTCTCTGATCAGCAGGGTGTCAGGGTCTCTTTCCCAGTGCTGGGATCCCCAAGGAGGCTCTCAAGCTATCACAGATTTGGCTTAGCAAAGCAGAGGAAGGCCTCCATGATGTTGAAGGATCAGTTCCTCCAATTCCAATGACCTTTTAAACAGGGAGATATTTGAAGCTTAACCTAGTGCTATCTGCAAAACAGGGATACATCAACAAAGACTTTCTATTTTGACTGGAAATGTTTAAAACCTTTTTTTGTCTGTCTACATATGGGTAAAATGCATTTGTGTGTAAAATTATAGGTGTAAAATGCATCTGTGTGTAAAATGTATAAAATGCATGTGTGCGTATGAGATTCAGATGCGCGCACACAGCCTATTTAGTTCTTGTGGCAGAGATCTCTTCTAATGGCTTCCCTGCGGGGTGACTAATTAATAAACTTTCCCCTAATTGGGTTCTGGCTGCCAGGTCCGCAGGGATTATTACTTATATCTAAGTAAACAAAATTTCCATTTTAAACAACGCTCCAAATCTCCTCATAATATTTTAAACAGTTATAAATTCACTGAAGTCAAGCAAATCCCAGGCGGGGAGGCGGTGTGCACTCTGGCCTGGATCCTTTCCCCTCGAGAGGAGAGAGATGTCCCCCAGGTATGCCGATCCCACGACCGACTCCCTCCCTTCTTTGTCCTCATCTACTGAAACATCAGGAAGGACCTAACAGAGGTTTTGGAAGCCACGTGTGGTGTTTGCCTTTTCCTTTAACCTGAATGCATTATTTAAAAGCAATTATCTTTCACAATTTAAAAATAGGAGATGAGTTGGCTATTAAACATTTAATAAGTGTGCAGGATTCCTTAGGTACTGATTTGGGGTGGATCACTGTGTTTAGGGAATGTCTTGGCCTAAACTTTTGTGGAAGCTGAATTTCAGGTTCCTATATTTGAAGTCATTTTATGAACTGTTTCCTTGTTTTCAAGATTTCTCCCTACTTTCAGATTCCAAGTGGAAAGCAGAACCGCAAAAAAGAAAAAGTACAAAACCCAAAGCAGAGTTGTCCTCAATTTGGTTTGAAACCCAGAAGGAAGAGAGATTATCCCATCTCCCGAGTTTTTCTCCTCAGTGCCACTTGGGAGTCGTTTGGCTCAAGATTTAGATGTTTTGCAAGTCACTGTTGGCTGAAAGTACAAGAAAGTACTGCAGGCTCTGATAGTGATGATTATTGACAGCTGCGTAAAAGAATAAACTAAACATTCGTCAGACTCTCACATTGACAGGGCGAAGACACTACCCAGGAGAAAACAGTGAGGGCAGGGTTCAAGGTCAACTCCCACACAGTCAGGAGAAGTGTGGATACAATTGTGCTGTTGATTTTAAAGGTCTGGATCTCCTCATCCCTATCCGAATCCCTATTTCCTTCTTTAAGAACGTTATTCTAAGCGGAAGCGCTCTACATGGTGTGAGGCTGTTACCGAGAGTAAATCTCCCGAGAGATGCCCGTTCACCATCCTCAGCTCCTCTCCAGTGAGAGTAAATCTCCCGAGAGATGCCCGTTCACCATCCTCAGCTCCTCTCCAGTGAGAGTAAATCTCCCGAGAGATGCCCGTTCACCATCCTCAGCTCCTCTCCAGTGAGACTCTGCCCCCCATCACTGGCTGCCAAGAGAGAGATGACCTCGCGCTGACAGGCCACCTCCCTGGGGCGCCCCGCCCACTGCAAGTGAGGACCGGAACCTCTGGGTTCGTCACAGCAGCCAGTGGAGGCAGCTCAGGGCTGATTTTCAGAGCCATAAAAAGCGGCCCCCTTAGAGCAACTCCAGCCCCAGCTGCGGATATTTTCGTTCTGTCCCGGTGGCTGGGTAGATAGTCAAGCCTCCAGGCCCAGGCAAAACTAAAGGAGAGGCCGGGCGCGGTGGCTCACGCCTGTAATCCCAACACCTTGGGAAGCCAAGGCGGGCAGATCATGAGGTCAGGAGTTCGAGACCATCCTGGCCAATATGGTGAAACTCTGTCTCTGCTTAAAGTACAAAAATTAGCCAGACGTGGTGGTGGGCACCTGTATTCCCAGCTACATGGGAGGCTGAGGCAGGAGAATCGCTTGAACCCGGGAGGCGGAGGTTGCAGTGAGCCGAGATCAGGCCACTGCACTCCAGCCTGGGCGACAGAGTGAGTGAGACTTCGTCTCAAGCAAACAAAAAATCTAAAGGAGCAGGCAGAGCAGGCAGCAGGAACCAGAAGAAACAAGAGACGTGAGCTGCAGCATGGAGGAATCTCAAATGCGTTACGCTACGTGAAACAAGCCAGACACAAAAGGCCATGTCCGGGCCACAAGAGTCCATTCCTGTGATATCCTGGATAAACGCAAAACCAGAACAACAATCAGATCCATGGTTGCCAGGGGCTAGAGGTCAGGGGAAGGGACAAAGGGCAAGAGGGAACTTTAGCCTTGTGCTCTATTTGTATAATGGTGGTGGCCACATGACTGTATAGATGGGCCAAAACTCATCTAAAGACACACAAAAGTGATGTTTTAGTGAATGTAAATTATACTGCAATAAACCTGGATTTTAACAACAATAACTAAGGAGTAGGAAGAGAGTCACTGCGGTGGGGGAGGGAGGAGCTTTTGCTTGGGGGCAACAGGAGCCTGCAAGAGCTCTCCCCCCAGGAGTACTGTTTTCCAGGTCTTTTGAGCCACGAGGAGGCTTAGGGAGAAAGCAGGGGGATCCTGTCCGTAGATCCCAGCTGGATGTCATTTTATTTTTATTTTCTGAGACAGAGGCTTGCTCTGTCACCCAGGCTGGAGTGCAGTGGCACGATCTGGGCTCACTGCAACCTCCGCCTCCCAGGTTAAAGCAATTCTCCTGCCTCAGCCTCCCAACTAACTGGGAGATGTGTGCCACCATGCCCGGCTAATTTTTTTATTTTTAGTAGAGTCGGGGTTTCTCCACATTGGCCAGGCTGGTCTCAAACTCCTGACCTCAAGTGATCTGCCCCTCTCGGCCTTCCAACGTGCTGGGATTACAGGTGTGAGCCACCATGCCTGGTCCTACTTGGATGTCTTAATTCTAGGCTTCATCTAGAACAGCTTGGTGGACTGTCTCCGCTTTAGTCAATTAGCTTTACAACTTCCAGTCCAGGGTTAGACTCTTAACTCAGTTTTCTGATTGTTTTTCTGGCATCCAGTGTCTTTGAGACAATCATGCAGAAAGCGCTGGCAACCAGTTACCTGTGTATTGAAAGCCCTGCAGAGCGGGACATGGAGGAACCACGGGAGCCACTGCCCGGCCAGCCCAGCAGCCCTGTTACCCATAACCTGCCTTAGGAACCCAGTGAAATCAACAGACCACTTTGCCCCTGCTCCGAGATCCCCACTGGAGACATTCAGCTGATCTGGTGCTCAACTCCGCTGGGCATAGAGTAAACACTACTTCACAGAAGGCAGAGGATTGCACCCCGGCCCGGGCTGACTTTGGAAACACAGCCAAGAGGGGTGCGTAGGGGCACAGTGTCGGGTTCCTGGCAGGGCAGCTCACTCGAAGAGCGGACACTGTGCCTGGGTTTTGACAGTAAACCTTCACCGGTGATTTGAGGGAGGCAGCCAGGGTCTGGGTAGTTATTCAAAACTCTGATTTCTCTGCTATTTAAAAACACATGGCCCACGTAGTGGCCTCAAGCTAATGATAATAACACACTGCCAGGGTGCCTTGGTGGATAAATGTTGGTCTTGATGAGCATTTTTGGGGTCTGTGAACAAAAAGATACTGTTAGGCAGTTGTTTTCTTTTTGTAAGTTTGACCTCTCACATTCTCAGGAAATTTGTAAATCATCTTTACCAAAGCAAACACCTTTCCCTGGACAGTTCAAAAGTAAACTTCAGCCCAGACACTATAATTATCTTGCATATAATTATCTTGCATTACGAATCACTGAACTGCATATTGTAGTCTAGTAAGAAAAGTTTGGCTAGGCGTGGCAGCTCATACCTGTCATCCCAACACTTTGGGAGACCAAGGCAAGAGGATCTCAAGACCAGGAGCTCTAGACCAGCCTGGGCAACACAGCAAGGTCGCATCTCTACAAAATAAAAAAATAAATAGCTAGGTGTGGTGGCATGAGCCTGCAGTCCCAGCTACTTGGGAGACTTAGGCAGGAGGATCACTTCAGCCCAGGAGTTTGAGGCTGCAGTGAGCTGTGAGCGTGCTACTGCACTGCAGCCTGGGTGACAGAGCAAGACCCTGACACACACACACACACACACACACACACACACACACACACACACACACACACGTCGTGGTTGTCCGAGGGGTTTCTGGCTAGGGCCAGAGCCGCTAAGGAGGCAGGAGGGTGGAGTGGTCGACTTACTTCCCCCTTTCCCGCTCTTCTCCATCCGGTACTGGTAGATGTGCAGTGTGAAGAACACGTGTGAGTTGCGGGGGTCGTCCTCATCGCAGTCCTGTTGGTGGCTCCTGCGGGAGGCAATGGCGGCGTCCAGGAAGAAGGCAGCCTTCTCTGCGGTGGGGGCCCGCAGCTCGCTCTGGTTCTGCAACTGGAAGACAGAAGCCAAAAGCTGAGGCTGCAGGCTGAGGAGCGCTTGCTGTCCCTCACGCCTGGGTGTCCCTGGCTCCACTCAGCTGGCTGTGACTTCTGTATAGTAAAGCCACGTGCCTCTCTAAGGCCAAAAACCCTTCTGGAACGAGGTGCTATGCTCATGTGCGATTCTCAGCTTCATTAATTCGTTTCTGAAAATTAATATTGAGCATACTTATTGCATGAAACCTATTTTTACCTATTTTACAACCTAAGTAGAATCTGGAACTAGTGGGTGTGAAAAGCTGGGAGCAGATGGCTCATGATTATCTCTGCAGAGGGCGGCAGACCAACACCCCTCGCTATCCATTTACCTAAGAAAGCAGGAGCGATGTGACTGCATCTCGAGTCCAAAGATTAGATTGTTTGGAGACAGGTAGGTTGCAAGATGTGATTTGAGACCTCATAGCAGTGGTGTCCCAAAGATGTAAAAAAACTTGGTTAGCTTTCATTTGACTCCTAGTTTTTCAGTGATTTAATTAAAGCCAATTTTAGGCCATATTTACCAGCATAGTTATAAATAAGAAGCCAGTGTAAAAGGCACCCTGAAACACTCATGATACTTGAATGTCTCTTCTAAATTTAGGAGATATCTATTTTTACCTTTAGTTCCTGAATCCATGCTCCTAGCATACTCATTAATTGACTAAAGAAAGCATAGAGGGTAATGCATCTAAATCTTATGAAAATACTTGGCAATTATTTTAAATCTGAATCACAACAATCACATTAACAGAATTTAACCAGCACTCCTCTTTTTGGAGAGAAAAGGAAACTCACGTTTCTGATTCGTTCAAAGAACGAATTCGCAATACATGTCTTAAGGTTGGTACAAATTCTGACAATTTTCTACTCTAACTATACAAATAATTTTGAACTGTAAGAGCCAATATTTAGAACGTGAGGCCATCAAAATCCTCAAACTTCAAAGAGAGATTCTTCTGTGTTAGCAATTTTGTCTCGCTATGGAAAAATAAACCAAAGAATTTAAAAGATTTTTCAACAGGAGTTAAAGTGAACATTGGTCTTTTCCTCTTTTGCTTAGCCTTCATTTAACCAGATTTTTCACCCCTTAGTGGAACTTCATCAATGAAGTTCTAAAAGCAAATGAAAGCATATTTGAATGTCGAGAAGATGCCTGGAACAGGAGCAGTGGGTCGCGTCCTCCTGATTCCATCACAGACACTGTGTAGATACTGTCTCTGCACATTTTATGCCTCAGAACAGTGGTTTCCAACATGTGGTCCCTGGACGGGCAGCACGAGCACCTCATGGGAACTTGTTGAAAATGCACATTTTGGAGCTCTGCTCTAGACCTACTGAATTGGAAACTGGCAGGGGGGGGAGTACCCAGCAATCAGTGTTTAAACAAGTCCTCGAGGTGACTGATACAGACGAAAGAGGACTCAGGGAAATGAAAGGATCTGAGGTGCTTTAAGCAGGGGCAGAGCATGGTCAGGTTTGAGTGACGAGTATAACAGGCCAAGGGAGGGATCCTCACCTGTGCAAACAATCCCAGTTGGAAAGAGGCAGGTACTTATCAAACGGAACACCTATCTACAAAAGGAGGCATCTGATAACACGGGAAAATAAAGCCTACTGTTAGAGACTGGAAGGATTGATTATTCTGGATATGAATTGCAGCTTCCAAGTCATTCCTACATCTATTGTCAAACAGCAAAGGAGAGACCCTCCCAACAGGCATAGCATCCTGAAACGGCGAACTGGAGCTTCTCTCGGCTTCCATAGTTCTAGCAATTATATCATGGTTCTAATTAGAAAGTGGTGATTAGTTTTTCCTGCAGCACTGCTAGTCCGGCTGTAAACCAGTGCCCGACACACAGTTTACAGAGTCATAAACAGCCCCCGTAATGGCTCTAGCTATTTGTGCAGAGCAGTAAATATTTCGGTTTGTTGTTAAACAAAAGGAAGATTGTACTTTTTTTTTTTGAAAGGGGCATAAAGAAAGTGAATTCCATTTCTCCCCCAAATGCTACAACAATTGAGGCTCCTGCTCATTGTCAATTAGAGTCAAGGTACAAATATTTAGATTGGACAAGCAGATGGCCCCGCAGCTGCAGGCCGTAAAGCTCTAGTCCACTTTAAAGTAAACACCTGTAAGCCCCCGAGTTTACAGGCTGAGTGATTCACGAGTTGAGGTGCCCCAGCCTCTGAGGTGGGGAGGGAGCCACCTTGGGGCGAGCCAGGCTTCAGAAGCAATCACCTGCGTGCCGCAGATGGGGTCCTCGCAGAGGTACACGCCTGGGGACTGGCCGTCCTGCAGGCTGCCCGTGGCCACCTCCGACAGCAGGTCCCGCAGGTTCTCCTCCTTCCCCCACACCTCCACGGCCGAAACCCGGACTGAGAAACGGGCGCCGGTCTTTTCCTTGCGTTCGTTTATGAGCTTGAAGAGCCAAGAGATGGCACAGGGAATGATGCCCAGGTTCTGCATGGAATCATCCTTTCCGATCATGGTGTAGGATTTTCCTGGGAGAACCAGGGAAGGAAGGAAAGCAGGTTCAGTATCCAGGCATCATTCCGTGGAGTCTCCAAAACAGATGCCAAGGATATAGAAGAAAGGCACGGGGAAGGGGGGAAAAGGGAAGAGAAGGAATGAAAAGATGAGAGAAGTAGTATTTGACAACAACGGAAGGCATTATCTGATATTACTAACTAAATGGCTATAATAAAGAATGCTGGCTGGGCTCAGTGGCTCATGCCTGTAATCTCAGCACTTTGGCAGGGCCAAGATGGGAGGATTGCTTGAGGCCAGGATTTCCAGACCAGTTTGTGCAACACACTGAGACCCTGCCTCTAGGAAAAATTTTTAAAAATCAGTTGGGTGTGGTGTGGCATGCCCGTGGCCCCAGTTGCTGGGGAAGCTGAGGCGAGAGGATCACTTGAGCCCAGGAATTGGAGGTTACAGTAATCTATGATCATGCCACTGTACTCCAGCCCAGGCAACTGAGAGCCCATCTCTTAAAAAAAGAAACAAAGCAAGAGCCCAGACATGTGACAGGATTAAATCACAATGTACCTTGAGGAGGACCCCAGATATCCCATGATATCCAGTTCCTGTACTACTTTACACACAGTAGGAAGGCACGGGTTTTTCATCATCATTATAGTTTTTATAGCCACCCCCCAGATGAAGCCCACATATTCACACTTTATATCCTGTCTCGAGTTAAATGCTGTGTATATTTTTATGGCATGAGCAAATTCCATTAAAATCCAGATCACTGTTTAGATCAAGATCAAGAGGAAGGGCTGGGGAGGGCAGAAGTGCAGAGAGAGGTGATGGCTTTCTGTCCTGAGAACTGGTCTCCATGAGCTCTAGCAAGGCCCCTGTTGGAATCTCTGCCGAGGGACACTTTTTGAAGCTCCTCAATTCACTAAACATATCAAGCGTGTGAGGGCGAGGCCAGCGGAGCAGATGGCCGCAGGTCAGAATTAAAATGGGACTGTGGGGGGATTTATGAACCCCTTGCTGGGGGCTCTGCTGCCTCCTTTCCCAGACGCTCCAGTGCTGGAGTGTTCCTGATGGTGTGCACTGCTTTCCCCAGACGCGTCCTGGGCTCTGGGCTTTGCTTGGAGGTTGCTCCTCTGGCTTTCACAGGGGTCCAACCACCAACCCACAGCCTCATGGAGGGGGTAGGGCAAGGGGCCTATCTGCTTCCCAAACAGCGGCTGCTCAGGAAATGAACATTTTCCTTTCTGCCTTCTGGGCTTGGCTCTGACCTGGACCAAGTGGGAACAACCCTGCTACTTCTCTGTCCATCTCTTGGACTTGAAGCCTTTCCTACATGAGTGGGTGTCCGCCTACAACGAACATAGGTGTTTGTCTTATAACTTGTTACTGGTTATCCAGCTCAGCATCTAAGAGAAACGCAGCCCTTCCTGTCATCAGAGAAACTCTGGGAGGGAGACAGAGGAATGCATGGGACGACAGGGAGCCCAGCGAGCCGCATGAGAAAGCGAAACTCTCACGAACCCAGCTTGGCGTGGCCGAAACAGAACACGCAGCCATCCGCCCCGTTGACCACAGACTGGATCACCTCTGCCACGGTGCCTGCACACACTTCAGCCTGTCAGACACAAGAGGAGACACAAGCCATGAATGAACCTTGCAGTGGAGGAATCACTAACGACGAAAGTGAGCCCACCTTCCTGGGGCTTCGGGTGTCAGCTGTGTTCCCATGTGGGTTGGCCTCTGCCATGAAGTTTTGGAGATGCTCAGAACCCCTGGCAACCTTCCGCCCTTTGCAAGCCTGAGCATTACCGCACGCCCACTGCCAACCACCCTTCTGCTAATCCATGGTGCATTTCAGCAAATGCGTCTGTAGCGCAGGCAGGAGCAGGCTGGAATGGGGCAGTGTGTTCACGGACCTCATTCCCTTCCCTCGTCGGACACTCTGGGCTCCCGGACAAGGCCTTTAAACTCGCCACTCACCCTCTGCTGACACATGTATACACAGAGTTTATGAAACAGGCCGGGCTTTTTATAGGAAAAAGGTGACCCACCATTTCACAAGACAGACCTTGAGAGATGTGGTAGTCCTCACATAGGCAAGAGGTTTGTGATATATATCTGCTTTCTCTCCCGACCTCTTTCCTCGATTTCAATTCACACCTTCCTCTTTTCTTTCTTTATTTTTGAGACGGAGTTTCACTCTTGTTGCCCAGGCTGGAGTGCAATGGTGTGATCTCGACTCACTGCAACCTCTGCCGCCCAGGCTCAAGCGATTCTCTTGCCTCAGCCTCCCGAGTAGCTGGGATTACAGGCGTGCGCCAGCATGCCCGGCTAATTTTTTCGCATTTTTTTAGTAGAGAGGGGGTTTCACCAAGTTGGTCAGGCTGGTCTCAAACTCCTGACCTCAGGTGACCCACCTGCCTCGGCCTCCCAAAGTGCTGGGATTACAGGCATGAGCCACTGCGCCCGGCCCATCCTCCTCTTTTCAAAACCTGCCTTTTCTTTCTTTTGCTACAGATACATTCAACATATAGAATATCAGTCACCACATGGTATGTTATTAGGTGTTCTTTGGCCTGGTGTGTGTGTGTCTGGTCTCCAATTTGATTATTAAATCCTAGACAAGGACGAGGCTCTCGATGATGTATTTCCCCTGAACACCCACTAACATAGCGCTCTGCAAGCCATCAGAGCTCAGTCAGTTTTGTGGACTAACTTGGAAATCTGGGAAGCCTCCTTCTCTTTGGTTAGCACCTGAGACTTTTCACAGAAGCATTATTGGCTGTGCCCTGTTGCTTTCATTTCTGTCTCGAGGCTGGATTCAGGGCTCGTGGGAGCTCCGGGAGGCGGTTCTAACATGGGGCTTTGCAGTCCTCCGGCAGTGTGCCTCCCGGTGGGCACCTGGCCCGTGAATGTTGTTATTCAGCTGTAAGTTCCAGCAGCACAATGAACCCAAGTATTTGGAAATCAGTTTTCTCTCCTAAACTAAAAATTGAAAAACCACACTTCCAACAACTGTCACTTGTTCCCGGATGGTCCCCAGCAACTCTGCGGGGGGCGGGGGGCTCCTCCTGGGCCAAAGGGGGTGGCAGGACAGGGCTGCTGTGGGGCTCACAGGACCTTTCAACCCCCCCCCAGGACTTAGGCAAGGAGAGCACAGTGCTAACCCTGAGACAGAAGCAGTAGCGTCTTGACGGAATTTGCCAGAGGCGTGTCTGCAGAGCGGGCAGAAGGCTGCCCAATGGACTAAGCCTTCTTTGGACATAAAGTGGGACGGGAGGCAGGAGGCTGAGAAATCATCTCAGCTATATATAAAATAAGCTGTATTTGATTCCTGAGCCGCCTGGGACAATGTTGGCTGTGTGTGGACCACGCTGAGTCACCTGTGCAGAGGCCGGGGTGAGAGGACAGCTGCGGCGCCATCACCCCCCGGCACAGTTCCCGCCCGGCTCTCCACTGAGAAGACCGTGGTCAGTGTGCTGTCCATCTGGTGTGTGTTAAGAGCTGACGGTGGCCCGGAGGCCCCTTGCTGCTTCCCCGTGGACCTGGAGAGGCATGCGGCCTTCCTGAGCACAGACCCGTGGGCAGGGCCAGGTCTGCAGGAAGCCTCCGCCTGCCCACAAGTCCGGGTTCTCCGGCAGAGCTGTGTCCCCACAGAGGCGTGTCCCAACAAGGGCAGCCAGCGACTGCCGAAGCCACTGAAGGGCCATATGGAGGGCTCTCGAAGGCAACCAGGAACCGGGACTGTTCTAATCATTGCTTAGCTTCAGGAAGCTGATTTCCTTAGAAACCAAGAGAAAGCACGATTTCCAACTGCCTGGGTCACTATGGCGGCTGCAGCTTCACAGGCTGAAAATCAGGACTGGAGAGCACAGGCCCAAGCCGCACACTCCCTCCTTTTGGGCTTGGGGGCTCCAGGGGTGCCCACCCCGTGGGGCTGAGCTGGCCCTGGCCGGCAGCATGCTGCTATTATTGACAGTGATAACAGTAAAAATAGCCACATTTATTAAGCACTTGCTGTGTTGCTGGCTCTGCTGGGAGCACCTTATGTGTTGATGAATCACACAGCCTGATGAGGAACACTGTGGTCATGTTCTTATTTGACAGATGAGGACACTGCAGCCCAGAGAGGTTGAGTGACTCGCCTGAGGCCACACTGCTAGGGGTCAAAGATACAATACGATACCGAGCAGGATACAGAGAGGTCAATGGGGGGAATCCAGGAAGGACGTGTGCTCGGGAAAGAGACTTTGAACAGGTGACTTAATCTTTGAGTCTTGGTTTCCTTGTGTGTCACATGAAAACATCAATGCCTCCTTCCTACCCCACTGAATTCTAGGAAGAGTCAAATGCGTTAATGTCTCTGAAATGTCTCGAAAACTGCGAATTTACACAGACATGTAAATTATAACATTGGAAATTTGAATGAAAGTCAGGCATTCTGAAATGAGTGAAACTCCAACATTGAGCATACTGAGCTCTGGAGCCAAGTGTGAAATGTAAACAAAGGCTAGCAATGAAAACAGCCCCTTTTTCTGAAATAAATCTACAACTCATTAATAGTCCATGCTTAATTTAGGGTTTGCTTTGGAATTCTTACAACTTGTGGAGATTTGCTTCTGAAAAGTTTTAACTGTGTTAATGAAATTATTTGTAGGCCATTTATTAGCCCCAATGTCAGGTTTAAATGACCGAGCCCATTGGGTGCTATGCCACACAAAAAATGTAATAAAGAGAGAAACCGTAGAACTGATTCATAAAGTACTTTGTCTTCTTGGGTAAAACTCTTTGGGGAAACCACATGCTCAACTTCTTAATGAATGGAGCCTGTGACACGTGCTACGTGCCCACGGTGTAATAGAGGAGGCTGTGAGAACATCGCCACCTCCTCTACTCAGATGCAGCCTGGAAGAAATTCACAGAGGCTGCAGATGGTAACTATTTGCACTGTTGTCATCAGGTTCTGCTATAGGTTATTAGTTATTATACTATATACTGTTTAATGTAAATCTTGATAAGCACTAGAAACTTATCAGAAAGATGCAAACTCCAGGCAAAGTAGGCCACTATATCCTGTAACCTGGGTTATTCATTTCTGCAATCAGTTCTACATGTGTGTCCCTGCTCCCTCCCCCACAGGAACAGGTGCTGTTTGGTGCTGCTTAGAGGCCCATCTTCACCAAAGCTCCAGGGCGAATCCAAATGAGAACAGATATCTACTAGAAGCTTTAGTTGCAGCATCTGGTGAGGTCTGCAGTTCACTGGCTGCCCATGGCTCATTAATCTTGGTACCCTGGGCCCCCAAATAGCCTCCCAATTATGCTCACAGTAGAATAATAAAAATGGCCCCAATTCTCTACCCCAGCCTGGCTGCAACCCCCTTGCAATGTAACTTGGAGCTCATCCAATCATTAGAAGCAATCTCTTCTCCATCTTATGAAGCTGGGCCAGTAGAATCCAGCAGAGGTGATATTGGGTCAATTCTGAGCTTAGGCCTCCAGAGACCTGCATGGATGGGTCCTGGATGCTGCCTTGAAAACTAGCCCAAACTAGCTTGCTGGATGATGACAGACAATGTGGAAGAGAGACCAGCCGACCTGGTCAAGGCTATTCTAGACCAGCGGAAAGCCAGCCAACCCCCAAAGACATGTGCCTGTGGTGTGATATAGCATGATTTTATTTCGCCTGGCTAATATCCAGCCAAGATCCACAGAGCTGCCTACCCAACCCACAGCTGATCATAGACATAACAATGAGCTGAGCTGGGACCAGAAGAGCTGCTCAGCTGACCAATGAGCAATAATAAATGCTTATTGTGTTAAGCACTGAATTTTAGGGTGATTTGTAATGCAGCAATTAAGCGAATATAACACCTATCCCTGAGCCTCTCTTCTTCCCCTTCACTCCACTGAGCCAGGCCACAGGATGCATGTCAGCCTCGGTTTCCCTGCCTTGAACTCCGGTTCCTTACCAGGGCTACAGACTTGCCCTCAACCCCAGTGTGCTTATACTGGGTCCTAGGAGATTGCCTCATTCTAATCAGCTCCCTGAAACATTTTTTTCCCTTCGTACAATGCCCAGGCAGGACTAGGGTCCTACTAGATCTGTCACCAGCCCCTTGACGCATTGTCCTTGTCCCTTTCTGTTATCTTCCTGCTTCTGTGTGTGATCCACTGACTGGCTCGCACTTCCTGCTCCTCAAGGACATGTTTTATTGAAATTCCTGCACACTGATCCTGCCCAAAGTCTGACACCAGTAATTCAAAAGCACTGGACCATTCAATGGAGCTCAGATTGACTCCTGAAGGAACTGGTCCATCCGAACGCTCCAGAAGACACCCTCCCAGCTCAAGGGCCCTTGTGAATGAGTAAACGCTTCTTTAATCAACATTGCTGAGCCTGAGAGGGGCTGATACCCACCTGGGAGGCGTCTTGGGGAAAAACTGCATCGAAGGCAAACATCTTTGGAGGAACCTGGTTGCCTCTCTTTTGGAAGGCATTTTGACCTCCACAAGTCAGGGGATCGTACAAGGTGATCTGCTTCTTCCGTGGGTCCACCTTTAAGAAAGAGCTGGATTCTGAGGTATCTCGAGCCAAGGTGGAACAGATGCGAAGCATGACTTTCACCTGTTAAGAAAAGATGGGCAATAGCACAGATGAAGACAGCTGGGTGTCTTACGAAGGAGCACCCTTGTACACTCTGCGATATAAATGCACATGGCAGCACTGAACTTTCTCAGGGTAAATTATGAGGAAATGCACAGTGAATTAGCGACATCATCCTGGCTGGGTCATGGGAAAACTGATTTATTTATAATTACCAGGTAGAATATTTTGAAATGCCCATTACTTCAATATGGAGCTGGGACATCATGTTCTTTGTCTTCCTATTAATATAAATTGAATATTAACTGTGCCCTTGTGGCCCAATTATGCAGATGAAAAGGTAGTCTGGACTGCCAAACTATAGGGGCTGGTGCAGTTTCCTTGAAGCTCACAGATCAGTAAACCATGGACATAGAAGTTAGCTCTGTAATTTGCTCCTTGGCTCAGCTCATCACGACTCTGGGAGACAAAAATCCACAGTTATTAGTGTCATCATTAAAGAACCGTGAAATGGCCTGCTTTTAATGGCCAGCATTCGAAATGTGTTCCAAGGGGCAACAGTGATAAAAGACTGGTCTGCAACGTGTTATTTGGGATCCCATTAAGTGAGTGCAGAGAAGTTGTCATTTCAGAGAATGGAAGTGCATTGCTGGAGGGAGCAGGAGGCGCTGCCCTTTAACCCACTTTCTGAGTGACTGAACACTGAGCACCTCTGGTGCCCACCACCAACACCATCCCGCTCCTGCAGGCAAGTGAGGTGCTGATGGAAATGCAGTTTGCCTTGGGGTCCTCAGGTGAACAGAAATCAGGCTGAGGCCTCACACGGGTCTGGAAGCTACAGTCCTGGGAAAAGGGACAGCATTTGCTCTAACTGGCTCTCTATTTCTGTGTTGTGAGCTCAGTCCAACAAATGATGGGCACTTTGAGCACCTACTATGTGCCGGGCACTGTGCTAGGCATGGGGGATGCAAAGATATGTAATGCACAGAGCGGCAGGACAGACACAGATATGGGTAATTTTAGTAATATATGGAAATTCGGAAGGTATGCACAAGGATTATTTCTCTGTTCCTCTCTGTGCCTTGTCCTCCTTGTCTCATTAGCTGTCAGGTCTGATGAAATCTCTGTCACGCAATTTTGGGGAGGAGGGGTGGTTGTACATTTTTAAATAAAATATTTTCAACATATAGAAATGCTCAGAGAATCATATATGTTGTGCGAGACAGAGATCCTCCTGCCGACCTCGGCTCTCTCTGCTGAGCCATGAGGACTCATGTGCAGCATGCAAAGCTGAAGGTAAAGAATTCCAAGGGCGCTGGGTCCCCAGGTGTCCTGCACTGTGTCCCCGCTCTGCTTGCCTTCTAACTTAAGAACAGAACTCCGCGGAGATCCAGAAGCCGGTGTCCTGGTGGAAGGAGCCCGAGGGTGGGATGCGCACCACCTCTCAGGGCTTAGATCTTGCTTCTTCCACTGTGAGGTCATAGAATGATCCCTGCTGTCATCTACACGATCTCACTGAATCCTCCCCGTGCTCCAGCGTGTAGGTATGCCTGTCGGGATTTTACTCATGAGAAAATGATGTTATGTAACTTGCCCCACATCACTGAACCTGTGGGAGGCTGGACTTGGATCCCACCTCCAACGCCTACGCTTTTTCCATCATGCCGGCTGCTGCCTCCCACAAACAGTCACACTTCACAGAGCCCCGTTTCCTCACCTGTACAGTAGGAATAATGATGCCCGCCATATGGGCGGCTGTGCAAATTCAATGAATGGGCATGTAAAGTGCTGAACATGGCCCAGGCTTGTCTTGAACTCCCACCTCTGCCTCCCAAAGCACTGGGATTACAGGCATGGGTGCCACGCCCAGCCTCAAGCCTTACCATTAATGCTGTGACAGGAAAATGATAGGCTATCATGATCCAGGAGGAGGCAAGTCAAGAGAGGAGGGAGGAAGAGATATAGGAATTGAATGCCCACCACGTGGGCAGAGGTGGGAGTTCAAGACAAGCCTGGGCAACATGGCGAGACCCCATCTCTACAAAAAGTTAATTAAAAAAAAATAGCCAGGTGTGATGGTGCACACTCACAGGTACCAGCTACTCGGGAGGTTGAGGTAGCAGGGTCACTGGAGCTCAGGAGTTCCAGGTTCCAGTGAGCTATGGTCACGCAACTGCACTCCAGCCTGGGTGACAGAGCGAGACCTTGTCTCTTAAAACAAAACAAAACAAAATGGCTGGGCGCAGTGGCTCATGCCTGTAATCCCAGCACTTTGGGAGGCCAAGGTGGTCAGATCATGAGGTCAGGAGATCAAGACCATCCTGGCTAACACGGTAAAACCCCATCTCTACTAAAAATACAAAAAATTAGCTGGGCATGGTGGCAGGCACCTGTAGTCCCATCTACTGGGGAGGCTGAGGCAGGAGAAGGGCTTGAACCTGGGAGGCGGACCTTGCAGTGAGCTGAGATCTCGCCACTGCACTCCAGCCTGGGCGACAGAGCGAGACTCCATCTCAAAAAAAAAAAAAAAAAGCCTATAATCCCAGCACTTTGGGAGGCCAAAGCGGGCAGATCACCTGAGGTCTGGAGTTCGAGACTAGCCTGACCAATATGGAGAAACCCCGTCTCTATTAAAAATACAAAATTAGCTGGGCATGGTGGCACATGCCTGTAATCCCAGCTACTCAGGAGGCTGAGGCAGAAGAATCACTTGAACCCAGGAGGCAGAGTTGTGGTGAGTCAAGATTGCGCCACTGCACTCCAGCCTGGGCAACAAGAGCAAAACTCCATCTCAAAACAAAACAAAACATGATAAGGTTTTAAAACTCCTTGCCCTGGACTCTGCATAGCGTGAATCACAAACAGGATACTGTGGGGGATTCCCGACAGGCAGAGCTGGTTATTAAGCACTGGGCCCAACAAGGATCCTCTTAGTAAAACACAGTCAAATCTCACACAGCCGCTACGTACAGGACAGTAACCACTAGGTGTATCTGCATTCCATTCTGGCAATTTTCTTGTTCACCGTGACTTTCTAAGGTCTGATTTCAGTTCCATTCATTCCTACAGATCTGCCCCAGTTACACAGCATGTGTGCTACGAGCGTGTATTCAAATCTCAACTTGTGGAAGGTCCGTGGGACCTTCAGGCTTTCTGTAAGCAAATCTCCTAGCCCAGCCCCTGAGCGTGCAAGTCAAGGATGATGCAATGCCAGGCAGAGCTGATGGAGCACATGGCCCACTGCTTTTCTATTTCACAATTTTGCATGCAATTTCTGGGTAACTAGAGGTGCTGAATGTAAAATATGAGCTAAGCCAGGCGAGGGCCGACAAGGAGAAGCGGGAAAGAAGGGGCTGAATGAGTCATCGGTCCAGAAGGAATGCTCCTGCAGCTTAACAAAATCCCGAGCCCGCGGCTCATTTTCTGCAGAGAGGCTGAAGATCCCAGTTGCTGTTCTGGCCAAAGAGATACCCAGTTCTTTAAAAACCCATTGAGCTCCGAGCTGGGGGGAAGGCCACGCTCCATTCTTTTCTTTGCAATTCATCTAAATAAATGGACATTTTTTCCCTTTAAAGGAAGGAAATTGAGTTTTCTTGCTTCACCTCCTTTGTATCATTATTCCTTTAGTCCAGCACTCCACTTCCTGCTTAATCCGCTGTAATTAAAGTGCTTAGGAGATGCCACTTGCGATCAAGAAAGTCCCTCGGACTTCTTGCCAGGAGTTCTTGCTTTTGTCACTAACACCCTTAGGTTCTTGGCAACATCTACTCCTGCCCCGCCTCTCCCTGCCGCGCTCCAGAGAGGGTCCAGGCAGCTGTTAACATGCACGGCCTTCTCCCCAGCTCTCGGGGTCAAAGGGACAGTCACTATTTCACTCCCAAGCATAAACTGGCAGGGAATGGGATCCAGAAAGCTAAAGGAACAGCCTGAGTGGTGGCCAGGATGGCTTGACACCTGGATTCAAGAAGAGACTGGCATTTCCTGCACCCAAGTCCTCACTGGTGGGAACCCCGCTGTGCCCTGTTTGTTTAATTATTCCGTGGATGGAGCGGGACAACCGTTGCTTTGGGCAGCAGTTGTCTTTATGTCCTGCTGATTAATCAGTTCAGCACCTCGTTCTGGATGGCATTGTGGGATTGAGGGAGAAAGGAACTGTGAGACACTCACCGAAAGAGGCCGAGCCTCGCTCCCAAACTACACGGACTCTCTATCAACATGGAGGCGATCGCTGCCACACAGCCTGATTGGAGGCTAACGAGGAGCGGCCCTGTCATGAATCGCCGTGACCGCTACACGTGATACGGCAGACAGATACTCCTGCTTTTCCCTCATCACAGAGCGCAGCCACATGTGCACACCCAGGAGGCTCTTCATGGCCTGTTTCTCCGCCCAGAAGCTGTCCGGCTAGAGGTTGTCTGCAGACTCTAGGGCTCAGGAGGGCTACAGGCAAATGTGACCACGGGAAGGATCCCTCAGCAATGAGAAAAAGACTGCAGATGGTGAGAAGGTGGCAGGAGCAAGGGAGAGCTCCATCTGTCCTTCTCATGCGCAAGCTTTGTTTCAACTCATTTTGTGGATACCCGCAACGAAGGCTCTCTACAGACACACAGGAACCTGAGTCTTGGCCACAATACATGCCCAGTAAGAGTGTGCAAGTGATGATAAATAGTTTTTACCCCTACAAGATTCTAGGCTACGGAGTTAAATTCACCACTGGCCTCTTCTGACCCCTCATCATCTCTATCTGAACTCCCTTTACACGGAATTTTGAGTTCACGGGTTCTCGAGAATCAGCTCAGTAGAAACTGGTCAAGGTGCAGATGGAGGAACCTAACCAGGAACACCATCTGACATCATTTCTGTCTCAATTCCAGCAGTGTCAGAATAATCTCTAAGCCTTCCACATCTAGTCTTCTGTTCCCCCCAAAAAAGGCTGGAACTCGTTCTCCAAGGTCAATCAGCGGCGAATAAGACAGGGTGATCAACGGGAAGAATGGTGGGAAAAGCAGAAAAAGTAAGAT